AAAGGGAATGGGAATGGGAAAAGGGAATGGGAATCGGAAAAGGGGAAAGGAAAATTCCCGTCAAAATTCCTGTTAAAATTCCCATCAAAATTCCTGTCAATATTCCCAGAAATTCTCAGAAAAAAAATCCCAGAAATTCCCAGTAAAAATCCTGGAAATTCCAAAAAAAATCCCATCAAAATTTCCCAAAATTCAAAAAAATTCCCAGCAAAATTCCCAGAAAAAAATCCTGGAAATTCCCAGAAAAATTCCCAGAAAAATTCCCATCAAAACCAGGAAATTCTCAGCAAAATTCCTGGCAAAATTCCCAGAAAAAAATTTCCTGGCAAAAATTCCCAGAAATCCCAGAAATTCTCAGCAAAATTTCTTACAAGAATTCCCAGAAATTCTCAGCAAAATTTCTTTAAAAAATTCCCAGAAATTAGTGTCAAAATTCCCATCAAAATTAAAAAAAAATCCCCCAAAAATTCCAAAAAAATTCCAAAAAAAATCCAAAAAAATTCCCAAAATTCCCAACAATCCCCCATCCCAATTCCCATCAAAATTCCCATCAAAATTCCCATCAAAATTCCCATCAAAATTCCCCAAAATTCCCATCAATCCCCTATCCCAATTCCCATCAAAATTCCCAAAAAAATCCTGTCAAAATTCCAAAAAAATCCCAAAAAACTCCCATCAAAATTTAAAAAAATCCAAAAAACCCCAATCAAAATAAAAAAAAAAATCCCCCAAAAACTTCCCATCAAAATTTAAAAAAATTCCCAAAAAACTCCCATCAAAATTTAAAAAAAATCCCAAAAATTCCCCAAAAGTCCCCATCCCAATCCGCACCAAAATCCCCATCAAAATCCCCAAAAATCTCCAAAAATTCCAAAAAATCCCCATTAAAACCCCCGTTAATCCTCACCCGGGTGCTGCAGGTGCTGTGCGATATCCGCCGCCGGCGCGCAGCCCGGGTTACGCCAGGCCCAGTCTGCCAGGGCGGAGATGTTGTTGAGCTGCGCCTGGATGTCGTAGAGCAGCGTGGCCTGGATGTGCTGCAGCGTGGAGGATTCGCCAGAGCGGAGCTCCAGCTCCTGAACCCGCTGCTGCAGGCTCCGGTTGAGCCCGGCCGCCTCCTCGTGCTGCGGGGGGAAAATGGGGGAGAAAAATTTACATTTCTGGTAAAATTCCCAGAAATTTGTGTCAAAAATTCCAGAAAAATTACAAGAAGTTTCCATCAATGGGGGAAATGGGAAGAATGGAATAAACGGGGGAAATGGGGAAAATGGAGGAAATGGGGGAAATAGGCCCGGGTTACGCCAGGCCCAGTCTGCCAGCGCGGAGATGTTGTTGAGCTGCGCCTGGATGTCGTAGAGCAGCGTGGCCTGGATGTGCTGCAGCGTGGAGGATTCGCCAGAGCGGAGCTCCAGCTCCTGAACCCGCTGCTGCAGGCTCCGGTTGAGCCCAGCCGCCTCCTCGTGCTGCGGGGGGAAAATGGGGGAACGGGAAAACAGGAAAAACTGGAAAAACTGGGAAAGCACTCTGGAAAAGGTGGAGGAAATAGCAGAGATAAAACTGAAAGGTTTGGGACTGATGTTGAGGGAATTATCCCTGGAAYGCTCCTGATCCATGAAATAGTTGGAACTCCGGGTGTGATCTGGGAAACCACTCCAGGAAAGATGCAGCAGATTACATGGATAAAATTGAAGGATTTGGGATTGATGTTGAGGAAATTTTCCCTGGAATGATCCCGATCCATGACATCGTTGGAAAACCAGRTTTAGTCTAGGAAAGCACTCTGGGATAGGTGGAGGAAATAGCAGGGATAAAAATGAAGGATTTGGGATTGATTTTGAGGGAATTATCAGTGGAACACTCCTGATCCATGGAATGGTTGGAACTCCAGGTCTGGTCTGGGAAATCRCTGCGGGAAAAGTGAAGGAGATTCCATGGATAAAACTGAAGGATTTGGGATTGATATTGGGGAAATATTCCCTGGAATGGTCCCGGTCCATGAAATAGTTGGAACTCCAGGTATGGTCTGGGAAACCACTCTGGGAATGGGATGGATCCAGAGATTTTCTTAGGAAAACTCAAAGGTGGAGGAGATTCCATGGATAAAAATGAAGGATTTGGGATTGATTTTGAGGGAATTATCCCTGGAACGCTCCCGATCCATCCCACGGTCAGAACTCCAGGTCTGGTCTGGGAAATCGCTCCAGGAAAGGTGAAGGAGATTCCATGGATAAAACAGAAGGATTTGGGATTGATGTTGAGGGAATTATCCCTGGAATGTTCCTTACCCATGATATTGTTGGAAAACCAGCTTTAGTCTGGGAAACCACTCTGGGAATGGGATGGATCCAGAGATTTTCTTAGGAAACCTCAAAGGTGAAGGAGATTCCATGGATAAAACTAAAGGATTTGGGATTGATGTTGAGGGAATTATCCGTGGAACGCTCCTGATCCATGGCATCGTTGGAAAACCAGGTTTAGTCTAGGAAAGCACTCTGGGAAAGGTGGAGGAAATAGCAGGGATAAAAATGAAGGATTTGGGATTGATTTTGAGGGAATTATCCCTGGAACACTCCTGATCCATGAAATGGTTGGAACTCCAGGTCTGGTCTGGGAAATCGCTCTGGGAAAGATGAAGGAGATTCCATGGATAAAACTCAAGGATTTGGGATTGATGTTGAGAAAAATATCCTTGAACACTCCTGATCCATGGAATGGTTGGAACTCCAGGTGTGGTCTGGAAAACCACTCTGGGAATGGGATGGATCCAGAGATTTTCTTAGAAAAACTCAAAGGTGGAGGAGATTCCACAGATAAAACTCTGAAGGATTTGGGAYTGGTTTTGAGGGAATTATCCCTGGAATGCTTCTGATCCAAATTCCAACCCAGCAAAATTCCAGGAGCTGAAAGCACCCATGGACGTTTTCACCTGGATCTTCACAGCTTTGGAATGGGATGGATCCACAGCCCATCCTAGGAAGGATCAAAAGTGGGGATTCCATGGATAAAACTCAAGGATTTGGGATTGGTTTTGAGGGAATTATCCCTGGAATGCTCCCAATCCATCTCCAGAGGAGCCACCCACGGTGGTAACGCCAAATTCCAACCCTTCCAAACTCTAGGAACCAGAAGATTCCATGAAAAAATCCCATGGATACTTTCACCTGGATCTCCAGGGCTTTGGGAATTGAATGGATCCACTACCCATCCTAGGAAGGATCAAAAGTGGGGATTCCATGGATAAAACTCAAGGATTTGGGATTGATGTTGGGAAAATTATCCCTGGAACGCTCCTGATCCATGAAATGGTTGGAACTCCAGGTCTGGTCTGGGAAATCACTCCGAGAAAGGTGAAGGAGATTCCGTGGATAAAACTCAAGGATTTGGGATTGATGTTGGGGAAATTTTCCCTGGAATGGTCTTAATCCATGGAATGTTCGGAATTCCAGGTGTGGTCTGGAAAACCACTCTGGGAACGGGATGGATCTGAAGCCCTTGAAAAGGTGGAAATTCCATGGATAAAACTGAAGGATTTGGTATTGATTTTGAGGGAATTATCCTTGGAATCCTCCCAATCCATCTCCAGAGGAGCCACCCACAGTGGGAACACCAAATTTCAACCCTTCCAAACCCCAGAAACCAAAACCACCCACACCAAAAACCCCCATTTTTTTTTTCCCACCTGAATCTCCAGCGCCTTGACGCGGTGCCGGTGGTTGCGCAGCTCCTCCTGGAGCTCGGCGATCAGCTCGCGGAGCTCCAAGATCTGCTGCTTGCGCTCCTCGTTCTCGTGGAGCCAATAGGAGACCTCATCGGTGCAGCGGAACAGGTCGGGGCAGCGGCGCTCGTCRCCCTGCGGCAAGGTGGCCACGATTCGGCATCGCCCGTCGGCCAGCACCTGATTGCTGTACTCGCCACARCGGATCAAACCCGGGCTCTGCCGGGGGTCCTCGTGCTCGCGGAGCTCGCCGGGAAGGGATTTTTCATGTGAGAGTTGGCTCAGAGCGGCCGTGAGGAGCAGGGAGAGSAGAGCGGCTCTGCCGGCGCGGAGCTCCGTGGGGAAGGAACGCGGAGATGGGGTGGGGTTGTGGAGGGAGAGGTGGAAGGGCATGGTGAGGGTGGGAGATGGGGGGTGGAGGGAGAATGGAGATC